ATGGAGGGAGATTCAGAGGGATGGAAGTTACTTGGTGGCCACTTTGTTATGGGGATCGTTTCTTCTTTTCAAGTGGTTGATGAATGTAGAGTTACATCCTTGAAAGCTGCACAATATGTACTTAGTTTATTAAGGGTTTATTTTGTCAAGTTTATGGTGAACTATGACGGTAATGTATCTGCGCTGCAGTTTATTTTTTAGAAATAAAAGGACTCCGTCATGTTACTGTAGCATTTGTAACGCAAGTAACAAGCGCTTCTGATCACCACACGTGACAGTTTTTTCCTTTCACGTGATACTCTTTATTCTCTAAGTTTTCTTCTTTGTTTCATGTTTTTTATTTTTTTATTTTTTTATTTTCTTTTTGGTGTACCATTTCTCATCTTTGAATATTATCTATACCAGCATTTTATGTTTCAGAATGACTTAAACGGTTTAACCCCTTAATTATGAAGGGGAATTAGAGTACAAGAGGTCAGAAGAAAGTACTAAGGATGAATCAAAGAGAAATCAAAGAAAAGCTTTCTCCAGTTTCATTTGTACTATTGAAAGCGCCAAAAGAGGCAAGAGCCAATGTCACAAATCATACCGAGCTTCTTGATTTTGACCCATCAAAAAGATACATCTTCTCTTCAAGCTTTGTTGATTTAACTTTTGCTCCTTTTTTTGTTTTGAGGAGGAAGTCAGAATTTGTATGAATTTTGGTACCACAATTAAAGCAAAATAATCTTTCATTTCCTCGGGTAAATGTCGAATACATAGTTTATGGACTTTCTCACTGTGCTTACTATTATAAGTAACTCCCTAGACAAAGCACCGAAGATACTCTAGTCTAATTCTTGCTGGGTGATCTGGGGGCTACTCTGTATATAAGATTTCAATCTGAAACAAATTTTGTTATGGGGCTGTGAAAGAGATTGCAAAAATGGAAAAAGTAAATGACACAATATCCCAAAAGAGTAATACGAAACATTCCACAGAATAGATTATTACATCCATTCATAATCTTTTCCCCTTGCTTTTTGATGTTTACTTTTCGAGAGTCCTTCAAGAATGAGATGGAGATAGTGGAGGCAGGAAAGGTTTCGTAAGAACTTGTTACTGGAGACTGCTTAACTCGTTCTTTAGTTATCAAGACCACAGTAAGAATCCCTTTTTTTGGCGCTACATTCATCAGGGTCGGGTCAACATAGTTGAGTTTACTCTTTGTTTCTTGTTTTTTTTTGTTTTTTTTTGTTTTTTTCTTTTAAGTTTTAAACTTTCCTGGGTTCCTACGTTTTTGTTCGAATTTTGAGGTACTACCCATCTAACTAAACCTCTTCAAACCACACCTGTCAAAGTCATCACCGTTTCGAGAATATTTTTGATTTCGGTTTCAGCTTAAAATAATTTTTTTCTTCTTCTTCGAAGTAAAAGTCATTCCTTTTCTTCTGCGTTCTCCAGGAGTTTGTTGTTTCTTCTTACAATAGTGAGACTGCTACCGTTACTTTTACCGCCAGTACTCTTTAACCAAAGGCGATTTGCTATATTACGTATAATTTATGAGTGTGAGTGAGTGTGAGTGTGGAGTATTACATATATATAACATCAAACAACCGTGAAGAGAAAAATCGCGTCTTTTCACCAAAACCGACAAAAAAAAGAAGGGAAGGGAACAGCCACTCTAAACAAAGGGGATTCCAAATTGCACCTTTTTCATATATACTCACAGACAGACAACCGTAAAATGTTGAGTCATATTTTGGATACTACTCGTACACACAACACCACTACCACTGCCACTACCACTGCCGCTGCAACTACCACTACCACTGCCCCTACCACTGCCCCTACCACTACCACTACCACTACTACTACCAATACCAGTCCAACTACTACCCTTACCACTCCTATTCCCAGCACTATTTCTTCAGAGACATCTAGACTATCAGTTAAATCACCAGAGTCATCAAACCTTCTCCACCGAATGCCAAACGACAAAACAGATTCAAAGGAGGTGTCACCGCCAGTAATTGCGGTACAGCCGCCCTTACACCAAGGAAACTCACCAACTAGACCTCAAACTTTGTTGCACCCTCTGGACTCATCAATAGGAAGTAAAAGAAAGATATCATCTACTACCCCTTTCAATAATAGTCCACCAACGAGTTGTGGATCCACCACTAGCACGACAACCACTGGTAGCAATAACAGTAACAGCAGCTTTTATAGCAGTTCCACCACACAGGCTTTGAAACGTCACAAACCAAGGACTCTTAACTTGAATGCTGCTCCAAACGCCAATGCTGACTTGGCATTAAGAATTGTCAGCCCTGGACTACCGGCTCTAGACGACGAAATGAAGTCAACAATAAAGCTTTCACAACGAATTCAGCAGCAGCAGAGGCATCTCATTGCTAGTAGACGAGGAGTGGATATTGAGCAAGAGAGATACGATGACGGAGGTGAAACTTTTGTGGACGAGGATGTCATTACTGCACACAAAGCCCCCAATTCAGCTGAAATAGATGCATCATCTGTCCAAGCACCTGTATCAGCTACATCTTCATCCAAAAGTCTGGGCACTTCGCCTACTGCATCGGATAATGTAACTGCTGATGAAAGGACCGAAAGCTCCAATACGCAGCCTGCGTCGCAACTGGAAAACAAAGAAAATGCCGAAACTACATCAAAAGAGTTTACAAAGTCACCAATTTATGCTCTAGACGACTCAGACATCACCAGACTATCGGGGTTGCAAAACAGGAGAATGAAGCGGAAAAATGTACCCACTCCATTGAATATCGGTTCATCTTCCAATACCACCCCTACCATCAATCTGTCTAAACCAAAGCTGCATATCGCTCCGATTTCTATACGCTCCGCCCCTATTCGATCAGCACCAACGCGCCCAACTATTAATTTGAAACCCAGAGGAGGTGGCAAGTTTGGACGACCATCGAGGCTAGTCAATTCACATCCAGTGTCGTTGAACTCATCATCTGCACAACGTTATTCAATGCATCCATCGCAGTTGCATCCCACACAGCCACATCCACAGCTACAGTCACTACAACAGCAACAACAACAACAACAGCAACTTTATTTGGCACCACCAAGGACAGCATTGTTGCCTGGTGTTAATGTACCACCAATGGCATATACCATAAGGCAAGGGCGTCCATTTCCATCTCAACAACAACAGCAGCAGCAGCAGCAGCAACAACAACAACAACAACAACAACAACAACAACAATTCCATGGGACGTTGCCGCGTGGTGTACGATTAGTGCCAGTAGCTAGCGCAATTGGTCAACAAATTCCTATGCGGTACTTGCCAATCGTGCCACCCTCATCGACAATGTTGAATTTCCAACAAAGACAGTATCAGCAACAAGTACAAGCGTCACAACCTCACAGAGAAAGGAATGCCAGTACTACTGGTGCCGGTGCCACTAGACTGGGAGCTGTGACTGATGTGTTTAGTGACAATTTCCAAAGAATCGCTCCGTTGCAATCGCAGCCTTTGTCATCACAAGTGGAGTTTTTCAAACGAACCAATGCTACTGTATCGACTGATTCTGACAATACCCCCACTGGTGACGACAAAACCAAAGTTGATGAAGTTGACGATGATAAAGCTCCAGTGTCCCAGGATGAGATCGACGAGATGCAACAAAAGTATGCAACTGGACGAAATGTGGTACCTCAGTATGTACCCAGTCTCCAGCACCAACAACAACAACAACAACAACAACAACAACAACA